GCCAGGTCGTTGAGAGCTGCCACATTAAAATATAATTTGAGGGGCGCCTGGATGGCGCAGTCGGTTAAGCGTCCGACTTCAGCCAGGTCACGATCTCGCGGTCCGTGGGTTCGAGCCCCGCGCCAGGCTCTGGGCTGATGGCTCAGAGCCTGGAGCCTGTTTCCGATTCTGTGTCTCCCTCTCTCTCTGCCCCTCGCCCGTTCATGCTCTGTCTCTCTCTGTCCCAAAAATAAATAAACGTTGAAAAAAAAATATAATTTGAAATTTAAATTCCTTGTAAAACAACAAAAAAATATGGGTCAGAAAGCTACTAATGGAGATCCTAGGGAAAGCACTGTCACTAAATTACCCTGAAGACTTCGAAGTGACTGAAAGAGCAAGAGCATTAGAAAAGTGGTCAGTTAAAATGCTAGAAGTAAAAAAAAAAGGCAAAAAAGCAAAACATCTTTTAAGAGTCAGCACATGGAGGCATTGATGGGGTCAGGCAGTCACCATCTGTATTTTTATTCCCAGGTATGTTTATTATATTTGAGATGATAAAAGACTAGTTTTGATGATCTAATAAGGTAATAAGGTTGTAGTAGGAGACAAGACTCTTGGTATGATGAAGAAATTAATCTAAATATCATATTACTTCACTGTTAGAGCTTTTCTCTTGAAGAATGAGAATTATATATGACCTTAACAGTTTTTCATAAAACTTGAATCATCCCGCCCCCAACCAGCAGACATTTTCAACCCTCTTTTAGCCTCTAATTTATACCTTTGTCTCCTTGCTCTTAGCAAGATCTTGCTTTCCTGAGAAGACAACACTGTTTCAACCCCTCAATTGTTCTCTGCCTTCTCTAGACCTTGATCCAGCCGTTTCCCTTCTTTTTCCTCTGTCTTCAGCCTCTTTCCTCTGGCTTATTCTGCACAGCCTATGAATTAGAAATCTAAGAGAAATCTTCACTTGGCTTTATACTCCATAGGCTACTATTTTTTTCTCTTTCCATCCCTTATCACCAGCTTCTGAGAAGTGCAGTCCACACCACTCCTCATCATTCATGCCCCCTGCTACCCCTTGGTGTTTGACTGCTACAATTATTTTCTCAGATATCTCTAATTATTCAATGGCATTTCTTTTTTTTTTTTTTTTTTAATTTTTTTTTCAACATTTATTTATTTTTGGGACAGAGAGAGACAGAGCATGAACGGGGGAAGGGCAGAGAGAGAGGGAGACACAGAATCGGAAACAGGCTCCAGGCTCTGAGCCATCAGCCCAGAGCCCGACGCGGGGCTCGAACTCACGGACCGCGAGATTGTGACCTGGCTGAAGTCGGACGCTCAACCGACTGCGCCACCCAGGCGCCCCTCAATGGCATTTCTTAATCATCCACTACTCTTACCTGGAATAGGGGTGTGTGTGTGTGTGTGTGTGTGTGTGTGTGTGTGTATGTGTGTGTGTTGATCTATTTACACATGAGGTTATATGTGCTTACTTGTGTGATATCTATTATTTGTGTCCCTTACTTGACAGACAAAGTGGGTTTTTCCTCTAGCTAAAAGGTCAGGTAGGGAGAAGGTGGCCCCAAACCCCAACAGGGGTGCTGGAACTTGCCACTAAGATATAAGTGGAACTAAAGTGTGACCAAGATAAATATGACCAAAGTCAGAGGTTTAAGAAATTGGATTGTGTCTCCTCCCCTTCCTATCTACATGGTGTCTGTCCAGTGTGTTCTTCTCATACTATCACGAGAAGGCTCATCTAAATAGACATTGGTTTTTGGCCAGCCTTGAGCCCAGGTTGTCCTTACAAACCCAGCCAGGTATGGGCAGAGCTGGTGTGAGTGTGTCCTCCATTGTTGCAGGAGATGGTCTCCTGGGAAGGTACATACGAGTCTTGGACGTCCCGTGTAAGATTGAGCCCTGCCAGCAAGCTAATTAAATGAGTTGTTTAAGAGCTCCAAGCTTAGCAGCAAGAGTGGGTTGCTAATTTCCTGACTCACCTATTCAACTCACTTGTGGTCCCAGCAAATATTCCCTCTTGTAGGACACACTGCCTGGCTTTATTTCGAAGCTATTCCATTTCTTCACAGGGTAGATAGGAATGTGCAAAGTAATAGCTTTTCTCTTTTGTGTGGGATATTGCTTATGAAGTAGAGTTCAGTTCTTTGTGCAAAAGGAATTGTGGGAATGTCAGAACAGTTTTGAACAAAACTGCATATTCAGTTAAAATCCTTTTCCTTCAAATGCCCTAAGTTCTCACTGGAAAGATGAGGAGTCCCTGTTAGCACAGAGGAGACCCTATAACTGGGGAGGTGGGGGGTGGAATCCCCACCTTCGTCCCTATTTGCGAGCCTAGGAAATGCTGTGGGAGTGTAGATGAGCTGCAAGTCATCTTCAGAGCTTAGAAATACAAATAACTACAGAGACTAAAGTCAACAACAGAGCTGCCATGATAGAATTTTGTAGTTTAGGAGTAAATTTACTTTTGTTCCACAAGATCCTAGCAAAAGGAAAATGTTCTTATTTAAAACCCCTAACTGAAGCCTCTTTGTTTTGATGAGGGTCTTTACCCAAAAAGAAGAAAGAGGTACTTTTTCTTAGCAGAGGTAATTGCTACCTCTCCTTACTACCACTACCTGCAAAGGCTAAGAGTTGTAGCAAATGTGAATAGCTACCAACTACTAGAGAATACATCTCTGCCTTTTACCTGTCATAATTAAGGACCTATGCAGCTAGAATAATGAAATTGACTATATGCCTGGTAAAATGGAATCTGGCTAATTGTCATGCCAATTCATGACATTTTATTTCTCTTGTCTCTTCTACCTCAAAGCTGGTTGTTGAGTTCAATACTCCTTCCTCTAGGATAATTTTTAGTAAATAAAAATCTATTTACAGAAATTCATGATGGATAGTTTCTAGCTGATTTGTTCATGCTTAGAGTTATGTTTGGCAAATATACCATGTGTTTTTTATGTTTCTTTTTCTCCACTCATCCCTTAACTGTAAATGTCCCCCAAGAATCTCCTATGAACTCTCTTCTTTGTCTATATACTTTGCCCAGGGACTCGGTCATTCTTATGGCTTTATGTTTCATCTATGTGTTTATTAACCCCCAAATTCTTTCTTCTGCCTCAACTCTGTAGAGTTCAAACCTTTTATTTCCAGATTTCTTATTAAAATTGCCACTTGAAATTCCACCTATTTAAGTCAGCATGTCCAAAACCAAACTTAGTGGATTCCCCTGTCTACAAACTAATTTCTCTTATGCAACCTCATCTACTAATTGTCCAGGATTAAAACCCAGAATCACTCCCTGCTGCCTCTCAAACACCAAGACTCACCAATTCTCTATCCCAAATATCTTGGACATACAGTCTCTTCTGCTGTGTCCCCTCTGCCATTGCCTTTTACTTATTCACTCATTAAAGGCTTACTATATTGTAGCACTGTCCTAAGGGCTACTGACATTCAGGGAAGATGAGAATCAATGAATAAGTGAAATACAAAGCACTGTGGTCATTGACCTATCAGAACCCAGAATGGTGGACGTATAGAGTGGAACAGGATGTTCAGGAGTTTGTGAGTCTGAATCTAGGACTCTTCTAGTACAACCATCTCTTGCTAGAACATTTGGGAAAGCCTCCAGCCATATGTCCATTCTGCCCTCTGCCCTTCTGCCTGTGCTTTATTTTCAGAACTGAAATCAGATTGTCACTCTTCTGACTAAATTCCTTTCCTGGCTCCCTACTGCAGCAGAACAAGTGCCAAATTTCTTCACTCTACTTACAAAACCTTCCAACTCAGCTTTTGTTCCTCATAGCACTATTCTTTTATACAACATAGTTACTAACCTCACAGTCCATGAAATAGGAAAGGAAAGAACAGAAATGAAAATGCCCACTCTGCCTTAAAAATTTACCATCAGTAGCATTCCCAACCATCCTCTTTACCCCTTTGGCAATCAACTCAGCGGATCATTTTCCTAATGATTGCTGTTCACACTTTGCAAAACTGTTTAAAGTATCAAGACACTGAATGGTTTTGGTGAACACAGATAATCAGTATGTGATTATTTACTGTCCTGATGTACTCTGAGAGCTTCTGTATGATATGTGGCATATAGTAGCCATGCAGCAGTCTGCCAGAAACAAGTCCTTAGGTCTTGCTCTTAGAAACATCGGGTTCATCTTTATAGATAAGTATAATCTCAAGAGAGAATGAGCCAGGTGCTGGCCACCTCTCCCTTCACAGGAGTGGGCCATGAAACAACATTCATACATTAATGTATTCATTCACTCATTCATGCATCAAACACTTATTGAGAGTTTGCCAAGTACCCTGTGTTGCAAAGATGTGCCCTATCCCCAGGGAGCTCACAGTGTTTTCTCTGATAGGTTTTGTGATTTGATTCAAATGCTGGGATAAAAAAGGAGTGAGCCAGATTTCTGCTGAGGGATCGGGGTCCTGGGGAACACTTGAGAGGTTTTTAAAGATTGAAGAAAGTTTTATGTTGGAGTAAGAAGGTGTGTGTGTGTGTGTGTGTGTGTGTGTGTGTGTGTGTGTTTAAAGAAGGGGGGAATGGTAGCTCATGGATGGGAAAGAAATCTCTGCCTTGGTAAAGTGAACCAAAATGCAAAGTTAATTTAAAAAACTACATGATCTGGGGAGATTGTAGCAAGTTCAATATGGCTTGAGGCAGGCAGCAAAGCGTTGACAGGGGATACAGGGGGAGATGCTGGAAGGTAAACAAGGTGCAGATTATAGAAGACTTGTACCAAGGAGCTCAAACTTTCTCTATAAGCAGTGAGAAGCCCTGAGAAATCTCTAACGGGGGAATGACTCATTAGTTGTTTTTTTTTTTTTTTTTAATAAAGATCTAGTGTGGGTACAGAGGATTGATTTGAGAAAATGAGCATTTAATGAATTCTTTTCAGAGGTGACCACACCCAAGGATAAATACATGGCTATGCTTCAGCTAACCCTGTATATTTGTGTGTGTTTCCTCCTAGTGACTGTGCTGGCCATTTTCCATGAACTGCACGTCGACCCTGACCTATACACACTCCTGTTTGGGGAGAGTGTGTTGAATGATGCAGTGGCCATTGTCCTTACATAGTAAGTACCAGAACTGGGCCTCTGTTTTTTTGATCATGTGAAATATGCTTCTGCTTGGTGATAATTCCCAGTGGCTTTAATAGTATCTTTTCTCTTATGTCAAAGAGGTGTGGCAATTTCTAGTTTTTAAGGAATTGTTACCACAGAAGATCTCTAATAATGGGTACAATTCATTAGGTACCTAATTTTTAACACTATTATTGAGTTTCATGTTTCTAACCTATTACAAGGTACCACCCAGAGGGTAACTGTTTTTTCCCCAGGTGCCTATATTTAGCTGATTCACTTAGAGTTCCTAAAATGCATGTAAATGAGCTTCCTTCATTTCAAATCAACATCATTTACTTTTTTTCTTTATACATGCCATTTTCCAGATAATGGACTAATGCTAACTATTGTATTTATAGTAAGTTTGACAAATTGGAAATAGAACTTGAGAGTCAGAATACTCTTTATTTCTCAATGCAAATGTAATGTGTTATAGGAGTACACACATCTTGAAATCATCGTGTCACATGTGAAACTAATGGAGCTTCAGCTAAGCGCTAACATAATTTTCCCTTGATCCTGGAAGAATTTTCCTTTTGAGATGAAAACTAGTGCTCTTTCCTCACCTTCCCTTTAGACACTTACCATTTATATTTAGTAAATGCCACATCGGTGGCTTTCACTATGTCAAAGGTCTCTTCTTGGTTTTCGATTAAGACCAACATTTTGGGCAACTGTCAAATAACCCGAAGGAAAACAGCTATCTGATAATTAAATGTGACAACAGGATTCAATTCAGGGTGTTAATTACTTCAAATGCATTTGAAAATGTATTGTGAAGTAACAAAGGATTTTTAAAAGTCAGATCTCACGGAGGGAAGCAGGAAATCACAGAGCAGAACAACTCTTCTGCCAGCTGACATTTCTTAAGGCTACCACCCAAAGTTGTCACTGAGCTCAGCAAATTTTAAGCAAGTGTCTCCAGATAAACTGTTATTTCACCTGGCCATTGAGAGTGCCTCTCCTGCGTTAAAGGAAAATACCAGTGAGTGCAAATTAAGAGCAAAAGCCATGGCAGATTCACAAATGCTAAATTAGGATGCTTTTAAAGAAACACTGAGAACAATTAATTAGGACATCAGGAATCTCTGTCCAAGAAATACTAGTATTAAAGGAACATTTGGAATAATTTTTTTTTAATCTGCTGAGTTCCTCATTTTTGTGTCCTGGGCTGCCAAGTTGTAAAAGGCCAAGTGAAGCGAAACCACCAAAGCACAAATGCACTTGGGAAAGAACCATGCAGCTACAACCAAAGGAAGGTTTGGCCTTTCCACTTTCAGCCCTACCATTCACAGTAGTTTTCCATTTAAAATGCAGACTCCAGGGATGAATGTTGATGCTGTTGTGCACAAGCCCAGGGGCATTTGAAACAATCTATATATTATCTCTTTAGGTCAATACATGGTTATTACTGGCACTGCCTTTTCTACTCATCTACCCATGTGTTGCATGTCTTCTAAAGTGTTTCCCACCGTGGCAAGATCTCTTTCCTTTTTTTTTTTTTTCCTAGGCACGGGACACTTGCCATTCTAGCCAAAATCTTAGGTTTCACAGGTTTGGCAATTTAGGTGTCATGCAGAGTGAACCCAATGAGTTCCACCTTTAAAGTAAAAGTAAAACTAAATTAGGAATACTTGACATGGAAACCTCCACACTTTCAGACCTGCAGGCTCTTTCTTCTACCTGGTGCACCTGGACCCCACTGGCCTCTTTCTGAGCTCTACTGAGTAGAATGCCCCTACGCTGCCTGGGATCCAAAGTGTTTGGCCACCAGTGCCATCTGTTGCTGACCACACCCTCCACTCTGTGCAATTTTCCACAGTGGTGTCCTCTTCACTTTGCTCACTTGCTTACTTGCTTTTTACACTTACATCACAGCACATATGACCATCTCTTTTTATATACCTACTTACACACACATATTCCCTTTCCTTTTAATGCCTCATCCCCACACTGTCTCTTCCAACTATCTTCTTGCTCCCTATTTAAAAGTTTTGCATGACTTTCAGACCAGAAGTTCAAACATTTGTTTCTTCACTTTTCTCTTCCTTCACATTAAACCATGCACAGCACCCTGACACAACTCTCTGGCTGGTAACTCATGCCTTTACATGCACAGAGTTCACTCCTTCCCAGCTTCTGTTACTTCCTAATCAAGTCTTTCAGCACTTACCTCAGTCTCCTTCGGGAACCACTAGCCCACATGCTAAGCTCCTACTCCAGCCCTGCATGAACCTTGGTCAATTCCCTTCCAGCACAGCAGGGCAATCTTGGGTTTGAACTTATATTTGCCTTTTTAGATAGTGACTTTTGGAAGAGCGAATCTATGTGCTTGAAATGCATATTAAAAGAACAAATAAAACTTCTTTTGTGTTTTCCTCTTCTTAGTTCCATCTTTGTGTAGTTTTGAAGTTTAAGAATAGTGATACAGCTCTTCTTGTGCCATGGAAAAGAGAAGTTACACATTTTGATGTGAAGTCCAGTATAATAAAGAACTCAAATCATTGACCACTTTGGCCCTTGGCACTACCTCCAGAGCTCCTTTGGAATGGCCACATACTTTCATTTACTTTCCCATCTCCCACCACCAAATGTCCTTGTTTAAGAACTATCCTTTCCAGTTTTAGTATTTTTTAAATTTTAATTTAAAATTTTAAATTTTTAAAATTTACAGTGCTGTACTCTAGCACTTCATTCAAATATATAGTAATTTAGCCACATTTTAGATTAAGTCAGCTTTTCTGTGCTAGTCTAAGAAGCACGTGGCAAATTATAATACTGTTTCTTAGGTTAAATGTGCTCTGAATTTCAGACAACTAATGTATAATTAAATTTGATGACCACAACTATTGTACACAGCAGCAGGTGGTGGATGGTGTCCCGAGAGCTTAAAAAGAGGTTGTCCAGAAGTGTTCATCTTAAAATAAAAGTAACTTTATTTAACAAAAATTTTTGAAATTAGCCTCTCTCTTACCCATACTGTCATATTAAGTATGTACGGAGTGTCGTGCCCAAAAGCGTAGTACGTGGACTGGTTCATAAATGAATGAATTCCACATGATGGTTCTGCACTTCTAAAGATTGTGTAATAGTCTATGAAGAAAGGCAAAAGACATACTGGAGAGGGACGTGTGTTTTTGAATCTTGAACAAAGACATTACTTTCAGAGGCAATATGGTAGAATAGAAAGTCAAAAGAGCTGATGTCAGGCTTGCCATGAATTAGCGGTGCAGTTATTACAGTTGACAGGAAACCAACCCAAATTGGAGTAAGCAAAAAGGGAATTTATGTTGGCTGTGTTGACTGAACGGCAGGAGTAGAAACGGCAGCAAAGGAGCCAGTGAAATGAGCAGGACTCCTTTTTTTTTCCCCTCACTCAGCTTCTTCAGGGTTAGCTCCCTCACCTGGTCCCAAGTTGGCTGCCAGCATCTCCTAGGACTATATCTTTCTTCAGGAGAATAGAGCAAGAATCTCTGTCCCATTAGTCCCAGTCCTAATCTTAGTACACCTGACAGATTGTGATGCCATTTCAGACCCTCTTGTGGCCAAGGAAATGTCCTGCGTTTATTGGCTCAGCTCTAAGGCATATGCGTCAGGAGTTTAAAACTGTGCTCATTTTCACCAGGAAGTACATAAACTAAGACTGGGAAAAGGTAGGATTATTGCTCAGAGTGATATTGCCACAAAAAAGAAGTGGATGGTGCACAGAACCTAAAGAAAACCAAAACTAGAAGCCATGACAGTGACTCCATACAGCTGTGAGCTCTTCATGCTTGTTTCCTTGCCTGTATCTATATACTTTACAAAATTGTTCTGAGCGATAAATAAAGCAATATAGTTGGAAAGACTATAATTCTATATAATTGACGCTATATAAAGATATATACTTATAATTTATATAACCATTTATATCAAGATCTTTCATTCTACTTACACAGATCTCTTTCATTTCATTAAAATGACTAAGGATAGACCTGCTTCTAGTGAAGCATTCCTTCATAAATACGACATTTTATGATCCAAGGAATATAGAGAATAACCATTTTCACATGTGGTTTACCCCATTAAGAGTGAGCCACTTAGTTAAAGCATGCCGTCTAAAGTTGATAAATCAAGAAATAGAGGTTGAAGTATATTACTTAAAGTTATAAAGGCACTCACAGCGAAATTGATATTACTCATGGGAGTTAGTTGGAGGAGGGGAGAGGGGAAGGAAGGAATAAGTTAACGAAAATGTGACATCTCTCATAGTAATTAATGTACACTGTGTAGAGTTGACAAATCAAGAAATGGATGTATCTGCCTATCACTTAGAGTCACAGGGCAACCATCAGAAGAACTAAAACCATAAATGGTTAAAAGGAGATACTTTTGCTATGTAGAACTATGATTTATGCAAAGGGGACAAATGTAATTTAACTCTTTATTTTGCATCTTTTTATACTGAGTGTTTGTATTTGTTTGAATTATATTTATTTAAAATATTCTTTAGGTAATCAAGGTATCAAAAGCAGAAACTAGGAAAGAAAAGCAATCTATTTGATGGCAATACAGTCGAACAATTCTAGGAGGCAAGAGTCACCACAAATAAAATTAAATGATGAAGGATAAACCATGAAAGCAGTTTCAACACACAATGTTGATAGGTTGGTGGTCTTCATAACATACATGATAAATTGTAAATCTCCTTAATGTACCAAATGTATTAGTTATGTGACTTTAGGTAAACTACTTAACTTTTCTGTGCCTCAGATGCCTTGTTATAAAACAAGTCTGGTAATACCACTCACCTCATTAGATGAGATTAAACATAGAATACCAGAACAGAGCCTGGCTTATAACACTCAATACACATTATATATTAGCTGCTGATATTACTACTGTTGTCAAACACCAATAAGGAAAAGGTAAACATGATAGAAAAATGGGCAAATACATAAGTAGGTAATGAA